GGGAGGGCGGTGAGGTGGGGGGAGGAGCCGCCCCGGGCTTTACAACACTTGTTTGCCCAATCAAACCCTCTAATCCCACAGTGGCTTTCCTGCAGTCCGGGCGCAAGGCGGGCCGGATCCCAGAGAGGCAAGACCGGAGGAGAGCGAGAGAGAGAGAGAAGGGCAGACAGAGAGGGAGGGAGAACAGCGGGGGAAAAGGACAGAAAATAAGGGTAGGAAAAAAGAGGCAGTCGTGCGACTTATTGGAAAGACTGGCGGTGGCGGTGGTGCCGTTGCCGCGGGCAGTTGGACCCGCCCCGCCCCGCCCCGCACGGCGGTGACCGATGGTCCATTTCCTGGAGCCGAGCGCCGCCGTGTCAGCAGCGGCCGGGCCGGACCAGCTCGACCATTACATTTACCTACAGGATGGAGAGAGGCTGCGGTGGCATGGCGATAGCGTGGCGATATCAGGGCCAGTCGATTGTCCGCCCCATCCCGCTGCGCTCCGCCCCGCCCCGCTCCCACCACACCCCCCGCCGATGTCCGATCTGATCCGGCCGGTAGGGGGTCCTTTTGTGTGAATGCATGGCGAGGCCATCTCGCGTACCTAGAAGCGAGCGGGATGGAGAGAGGGTTGGCGGGTGCTGGGGATAGGGGGCCAGGCGAACGGAAAGAGAGGGGTAGTAGGGCGGAGGGGGTGTGCGGGAAGAGTAAGGCGGGGAGGGGTTAGCAAGAGGTTAGGCTGATCCTCCCCCTCCCCTCACCTCGCCCAATCCGGGCTGAGTTATGACCAGGCAAAGTTATCAGGCGAACGATTTAGCCCGGTCGTGCTGTACCTTACCGTATCGCCCTCTGCCTGCTCTGCCGCCTGGATTCTCTTTGCACTGCCGCCCCGAGCGCCGAGGTGGTGGAGAGTCAGGGACGGGGAAGGGGCGCAGGGAGGGGGGTTGAATGCATCAGGCACGTGCAGGGTGCAAATGATAGAGATGTGAAAATGTTTTGATCTATGTGAATGACAACATTAGCAATCAGCAGCGCCCGAAGCACCGGTCGGTGCCGATGCGGCCTTTCATCACTAGCAGCGCCAGCATGCTGCAACATGCCCTTCCCCGAGCACCTGTGCCGCCGCCCCCGGGTTGCGTCTCTCTTGCCTACACGAGGCGAGGGGCGAGCTGCTGCTGGCTGTGTTTTTCACTATTTTCCTTTCACTCTGCGCGATGGTGATCCATCCCTTTGAGTGCGCGGTCCTGATCCCCCTCCCC